TGAACCTTTGCTCCCAGACGTTTATACGCATCAAACCAACATTTGGTTTGATGTGTTCCCAGAAAGAACCAATTATGATCCGTTTTCAGCTCAATTTTATTTACAATCTTTGGGATTTCTAATATCTTATGAGCTAATAGCTTAATTAGGTTTCCAAGGCTGTTGGAAGAGAAACAGGCCCACAGAATCACAGATCCTCCACCATACTTCAGCATGGCGCTAAAAGAAATGAGCTTCTACTTCTACATCAATGCATATTTATACCCCAGAGAAACAGAAAATCATTGGTTACTTAAGAAGATAATGAAAATGCAGATTAATTAAAAATAAAACGCATAAATTAGTAAAATAAACAGTGCTTCAGTTGAATTTATTTTTGAACGAATTGTTAGAAATGCTGATATTTGCGCCAGAACAGATTTGGATAAGAACTTTTATTTCTTTCGATTAGATTTTTCTCCCATTTAATAAATATAATCAAATTAAAAACTTTTTTTATATATACTTCTAACAAGAGATTGGGCTATTGCAGTATAAGCTTGCAAAGTTTCACATATTAAACAGTATACAATACCTTTCCCTGAAATCTAAAGCAAGAGATTAAGAGAGTTTCATGATGTCTCTGAAAAGCTGTAGGCAAAAGTAGGGAGAATTTTTCTTCTCTGGATTGCATAGATCCATACTTTAACCAATTTTTGACCAGGAACTTGTTTGCAAGTTCACCATAGCAACTAACTATAAAGCAGACTCCTACTAGAGCTGTCACACACGCGAGGTTGAAACTGGACAGTGATTTTATAGTCCAAGACAATTCAGTTTTCTTGTTGTCTTAGGAAGCAGACTCTTACTTTGATTCTGCTGTATGCAAATAAACCCTCTTGGAAAAATAAAAATAGGACGATTATAAAGAAACAACCTGCTTCCTTGAGCAGGCTCCACTAGGGGTCAGTCTAATGTAGAGAGTGAAACAGATGTGGGCTGGGAAGGTTTCGCTGTTCATTGCAAGCAGTGGAGACTTGGATTAGTATTCACAATCAGTTCACAACTCTCAAATCATATGATATTGTATCATATTAATTATGTAATATTGCTGGTTTGCCTTGGGTTGCTGGTTTTGTCCTGTAACCCAAAAATAAGCTGTCAAAACATTTTCCACATGCGTGTCTTGAACTGCTACAGTTCAAGAATCGATTCAAGTAGACAGATTTCTAATTTGTCTTGTTTTTTCTCAATTGAAAACACTCACTAGAAAACATTTGCAGTTATTTTTGTTTGTTTGTTTGTTTGTTTTGTCAGTTATGAGAAAACAAGCAGGATTATATGTTTGATATGGCATTTACTACAATTAAAACTTCCACGCAACTAAGCAAGGTCAGTTACTGCGGACAGAATGAGAAAGTCCAAAACTGAAGCCTTTTTAATGCTCGCCTAACATTTGTTTAAGTATTTTACTGTCACATCCTTTTTATATTCCCCACTGATCTCTTTTTTAGTCTCCGTGTTATTTTGATTCTCATTTTTTACTCTGCTTGTATGGATCTTTCAATTCTCTCTTACATATATTTCAAAACACAATTAAGCTGCTTGAAAGCTGCAGTAAAATCCCTGTAATGCCCTTTTATATAGTTACGTAACATGTCATGCTCACAAACAGAAAAACAACAAAAAAGTAAGGAATTTAGAAAATAATGCTTTTATCTTGTCTCATGTCTTTTTTAAAAAATAAAATAAAATAAAAGCTTTAATTTATTGCCTCAATAAATTAAACGTCAGATAAGCATAAAATTGTGTGTGTTTTGTCGCACATTTGATGTAGCAATGAACAATCAGCAAGAGCAGAGGCGTTCATTCAGTTAAGGGTCAAATAAGGTCCAAATATGGTTCTAATCACTTCAACTGTCCCTAAGCCACACCCATTGTCAACATGGCATCCTTCCTGCTGCGTGTCTCACTCTTCCTCACCCGCTCATTTCAATCTTACCCCCTCGGAACCCAGACACCCCCCATGTAGCCTTTAATCTTCTGACCATCTTTGAACTATCTTCCCCCAATCTTCTTCCAAATGGCTGTAAATGACAAGCTCTACAAAACACACGTTAGAGGTAACTAGCGCTTAAGCTCAGAAAAATAAACCAAAAACTTAGCCACCATTTATTTGATTTTATAAGTAATCATTGGAAACACCAGATGCTCCCATGCGTCAACCGTGAAACGCACGCAAAAGTATTTTTATTTTTTTTTTATAGAATATGGCGTTGAGGTCCTATGCCTTATTTGTGTCAATCCGTAAGTTAAAGGGCTCAACACAGCAGGGGATGATTCCTTATTTGGGTCACAGGAGTGTTAAAGAGTTAAACTGGAGTGAAATGGTGCAGAGTGAAGAGGAGAGTGATATCAGCTCCAATAACTGGTCTGTCACCCTCGATTCTGCATGCACCCACATCTAAAGGAGGGTATTTGGAGATGTTGTCATTTAGCAAAGATGAGACTTTAATGATTCACGTTCAAGGAGAGCAAGTTTTCATGCAAACTTTCCATCCAATCTGACTGAGCCTGAGTTCTTGTTAACAGTTTCAGTGGCCATTTACAGGCACAATTTCTGACATACCCTGAAAGACTTCCAACCTTAATTGCAATGAAGAATTTTGAGGAGTAAAAAAAAAAAAAAAAATATCCAGAGAGAGAGGATTGGCGCAGCAAAAAGCAGAGCGACGTGGAGAAAAGACGGATTGTGAAACAGAGTTTTAGCTGGACAGAAACAGACATGCTGATGGGGAAAGACAGAGAGACAACCATGCTGCCAGGAACATTACATAACCCTCTATCAGGCTAGGAGTGAAGGAGGGAAGGAGGGAAGGAGAGAAAAGAGGACAGGAGGATGAGTAGAGGAGAGAACGGGCAGAGAGAGGAGGGCTATGAATAAACAGAAGCCAGTTTTAAGAGGGGATTCAGCCACACCCGTCTGCTTGGGTCAAAAAGAGATGCTGTTCAGTTTGAGCGTGGGAGTTTTCATCATAAAACTGAGCTTTCTTTAAATATTTTAGAACCTACGTGAAGATCACAGCTTAAATGCACTCGAGAGCCCTCACTCACTTCACAAATAAACTGGACAAGTCATGGAGGCAGCCATGAGTTTTAGTACATGTTTACAGTACACACAATATGTGAATTTTGCAGGGACTATAAACAAGGCCAAATCAAATCGAAGCCATAATCCATGATAATCCTACAGAAACCCCAACAGCCAGCAGGTCATCCAGCTAGCTAGCAGCTCAACAGGGATCCAGTCAGTCACCTGTCCAGAATGGGTTTCATCCATTTCACTGCCTCCCAGGAAGAGTTTTAACATCCTACATTCCTAAATTCCTCAACACAATGTATTTTATTTGCTGCATGTTGAGACCAATTGCTGTGAAGAGATATCCTCTAGAAAGCACAGTTTGTCACACTCAACTGGAAGATTTTAAAGGGTTGCCAAATTCTCAGTAGTGCTTGGAGTGAGATAAGATGAGGGTCTGTATTAAAAAGAAGAAGAAGAAGAAAAAAAAAGGTCAGTAGAAAATATTTAAGCTGGTATAGCACTTTTGATCACACATAAGAAAAAATAAAATATGGCCTCCTGACTGGTCACATTAATATTTAATCTGGCTAACCAGTTCACAGGATCAACATAAGGACAGGTTAAGGAGATGATGATAAAATGACAACATGTTAAGTAGAATCTCAGGATCTTCATTTTTTTTCTTATAAAAAAGTTTTGATTTTTTTTTTTGTGATTCAGATAATGAATTACGTTATTATTTGAATGCCGTATACTTATCGCTGTCTCAGAGAAAAAATACTAAAACACCAACAATAGGCAATATGTGTATAAAATTGTGTACAGTAGATTTAAAAAAGTGCATACTTAAACAAGGAAGTGCTCTATGCTTGTACTTCTAACACTACATTATGAGGCACACAGACAGGAAAGGATGGCTCCAACTGCTCACAACTATATAAATAAACCAATCAGGTTTGATTATCTTAATGTGCAGAAGTTAATTAAAACTGAAATCTTTTAGGGCCGTTGATCATCAGTATATCTGGAAAAGAAGGACTAAAGCATGACAGTGGCTCAGTGATGCTCTGGGTTGCTTTGCTTCCTCTGGAATTTGACACTGGCAGTGCAGAGTTAAAGGCGGATTTAAATTTCAGGAAATCCTGGGAGAAAACATGATGTTGTCTGTGAGGAGGCTGAACCGTGGACCTTGTTGAACTTTTGCACAAGCACACTTGTGCTTGCATCTACACAACTGAAAGATCAATTTCAGAAGTCTTGGAACATACTAGAATAGCCATCATATCTTCCCAAATTAAAGCAGTGGGATTTGAAACCAGTAATTTCAACACTCAGGACAAGGTTGTGAATTAACTGGATTGTTAATGAGGAGTGGGATGGAGGAGTAGTGTAGAGGTAGAATAATTTTGAAACTCCAACAGTTTTTGAAAGTGGTGTTTTGTGTTGAACTTGGAGAAACAATATGCAATATTATTTGTGTTGTGCTATTTATTTATTTATTTTGTTTCTTTGTTTAGTTTATTTAGATCACCCAAATTCTATGTTCTACCAACACACCTATTTTCTAAATGATTTCTCTAAATGATGGCGAACACAGCCTCACATTGGTCAGTGAACAGTCGCACGTGGTTCAGGAGGTGTTGATCAGCATGTGTAGATGCAAATCACCGGTAGAATGGACTTCAGCTCAATTATTGGTCCTTGTACAAATACATATCCTTGTACATAGTTTTCACACTGGTGATTTTCTATGTATTATTAATCATGTCAGGTCTGCAAATATGTATCTTCATGCTGGATACATTCTATAACTTTATCCGGTAACGTCGGCTAGTCATGAGTCGTTTCCTCGGAGGTACGTGAACGCATCAGCAGTGTCCGCTGTTTGCAGATTCTAAGCACTCCATTCTTATTGCTCCCGGCTCCTGATTGGCTGAGCCATTCAGAAAGGGGGCGTGTTTGTGTCCTGGTACCAGACTGCTCTGCAAGCTGCTGAAAGGAAGAGAGATTTCCCATCACACACACACACTTGTCTCTACAACGTAAACACACTGCGAGGGACGAATTCACACGGTGAGTGGCTCATTTTCGCCTGTAACTGAGATTCGAGGTGTGTCATCGCGTGGTTCGCGATGGTTGCGTGTATTCTCGCTCTGCGCCATTATAAATGAGTGATGCCACTCGAGCCACGGTTAAAGCGTGATTTAGGTCTCGCGATGCAGGGACGTTAATGTGGGCCTCGTATTTCTCTGATTAGGATGCGTGTCGCCTTCTTAGACGTTTGCTGTTGTTGCTGTTTCTCATCCTAATGTAAGGAGATAGTGGGCGTGTGAGGAGGAGAGGGATAGGGGGTGGGGGTGGAGGGCTGTCTCATGCAGAGGTCCGTGGATTCGTGCCTCTTTGTTATGGTGGTGATGCCGCAGTCGGGATGGTACAAGACTGCCCCTGAAAAAAAAATCCCGACGCTGTAGGAATAATGATGAATCCCCTTTATATCCATTCTGTGGTTCCTAGGAAGCTATTCATGAGTGTAGAAAGTGTTGTGACTTTGCTGCTTTTTTTTCTCCTCCCACATTTGCCTCTGCTACTGTAATATTCTTATATGGGACTACAGTAAGAGGCAGATTATAAACTACGGTGATTTGTTTACTGCTGCACACACACCAAAGTCAAAGGCCTGTTACATAAAGGATTTTTTTCTGATGTTACAGCAGTCATAAGAACAGCCTGGTTTTCTATAGAGAGTAAGCCGGCCATTATACAGTAATACCCCCATCACCACTCTCTACAAACACACATATAGGCTACAGACAGCTGCATGCACGCACACACTGCGTTTTCTGTGTTAATACTGCTCTATCATTGCTCATATGATTTTCCTTTCTGACTGTTTTTGTGCTCTGTTCGCTCTGTGGTTGACATATAGTTAATGGCAATGTAAACTGAATAAATAAATAGCTCGGTTTGGTTCTTTGTCAAATCTGTGACCCAGTTTGTATCTATGCATTGCCATTTCTCCCCCTTGTACTTCCATTTTGTACCTATGCACTCTAAGCACGCCGACTCATTTTATTTTTCATCATAGTTAAGTATTTTTTAACACTTATGGAGTTCCACATTCATAAAACCATCCAATCTAATGTCATTTAAACTACTGTATATCATAATTGCTATAATCCCATTCATTTTGGCTACGATCTCTTTTAAAATGTCTCAGATTATGAGCTCAAATCAAAGTTATTTTACATTTTTGGCATGAATGACTAAAACTACAAAAGGCGCAAAATGGGTTAGATTGTAAAAATGTCCACCTACTGCATCATTGACATTCTGCGTGATTACTATCAGGGCCAGCCGAAGGCCAAAGAAAACCAACCAAGTAAAAAAAAAAAATCCTTCATACTATCTACATATTGTCTTCTGCTTATTAAAGATTGGACGGCAGATCCAGGAAGGGAAACTCATCCCTTTACGCAGCAACACTCTACTACTCTCCAGCTCATTCTTAGAGATGCAGGGGCATTCCCAGGCCAGAAGGAATATATAGTCCGCTGGAGGAGCTGCTCTACTTACAGCCCTCCCCAGATGATGGAGGTTCCCACCTTTATCTCTGAGGTTGAGGCTGGCCACCCTTAAGATTTCAGCTGTGACCAGGATCTCCTTCATTCAGTCTCACCCTCACCACATTAGACACTGTCCCAGTCTGTTTATCTACCTCCCCTCCATTTAGCCATCACTGCTTGAAGTGGAAACTTACCACCTTTATATCGTTCCTATGACTGATGCCAACAAAACTGGGTGACCAGAGTTTTCATTGACTGTGTGGAACATAGAGTAGTAGAGGATGCCCCCTCCCCCACATGTTGCTGTGTGCTGCCGATTAGCAGAAAGACTGTTTGGATATATTTCCAGTTGCAAAACATGGTAGCAGCCATGGTATGAAAACTGTCGTTCATCACTCCAACTAAGGGAAATGTGTTTTCAAATATGGCAGATAATCCAGCTAAATAAGCTGCTCAAATTGTTAGATTTGCTTTACTCTTTTAAGAAATGTCTTAAGAGACATTTGCTAAGGTTGAGGCTGGCCACCCTCAATATTTCTTTCTGCTTCAGTCAGAAATCAAAATGACCTTATGCAAATGTTATAGATGACGTTATTATAAATGTAGTAATGAATATTCAATGTACTTTTAACTATAGTAGGAGTAATTTTTGCTTTCTCTTTTAAATATGAGCAATAACGGCATGTAATATACATTTTGGTTTTAAATTAATGTTGATACATTGGGTATGTGAAACTCTGGTATTTTTGGCTCAGGTTTATAATACTATAAGGATCTTATAAAGGACTCTTGGCTCATCAAAAGTAATCTAGTCAGACAAAACTTATGATGCACAAAACTGAAAACATTTTATATTCATCAGTGTAAAGACTTTTTCTCTAGGTTTCAGAAGCAATAGTTCATCTTTCTACATGGTGCAATTACCCATACTGTTAAAGTAATGAGAAACTACTTAAAATTATGCCAACATAATGACATATATCAGACTTGTATTTGACAATAGTAATGCTAAGAACTAAAAAAGAACAAAAACATTTATTATTTTCAACTTCCATACTTTAAAATCATTTAAATTAACAACCAGTTTGTAGTGTCACTGACATTACAATTGACTAAAGACTATATTGGATGTATCATGCAAAAACATTGATAAACAATTCTGATATAAATGACGTATTATGAGTTGATATACTTGGAAGGCCAGCTAAATCAAATATGTTTTTGGTATCTACACAGCTTTGAGCTGGCACTGGATACTGAAAAAAATATGTTAAAGAAGAAATGTTTGTCTGTTTCATGAGAACAACCTTCCGTGTGGTGTGTTCAGAAGCACTTTGCTGAAAATAGGTGATATAAATCTGGGTGAAAAGCTGGAAGCGCACTTACATGGCTACACTATTATATAAAAAGGGGTCTAATCTGGAGTTTGGTTTATCTTCTATTGTCTTCTGAAAGCCTGACATAAGTAATATCTTCAGGAAAGTCTGCGGTCTGGGCAAGGATTTCCAGTCGGGTGTTTATTCGTGGTTTTTCTTGTTATCTGACAAGCATACCATTTGTCATTCTGTGTTATTCATTTTAGGTCTTCCAGTTAGTTTTCTGAATTGATTTGAGTATGTGGCACTTTCTGTACTAGGCGGTTCTTCAATTTCTTACAATTATGTTCTTTGAATGTTGATTTGGATCACTGCCTTCTCCTTTTCACACCAGTGACCCCAGTGAAAAACTGAGAGTGAATTTAAACAGCATAGCTAACTCAACATTCAGCAGATTAAGTGTATTTGTTTCAAGGGCTGTTGCCCTTCAGCTGCCTTTACAAGGAATCACAACTGATCTTCCGGGTTCTTCCTGGTGATAATAGTAGAACGGTACCAATTGATCCATTACCAGTAATTGCATCATCAAAGTAGGCAATCATTTAGGCTAGGATAAGAAGTAAATCAGAGGGTCAGTTCAAAGGAGCTTTATGGATGTGGTGGAAGAAGACATGTTAGTTGGTGTGAGGGTGGAGGATGCAGAGGATGTTGCTAAATGGAGACGGGTGATTCGCTGTGGTAACCCCTGAAGGGAAAAGCTGAAAGAGAAGAAGAGGAGGAGGAGGAGGAGGAGGAAGTGAAGGTGAACCAAAACTATCTATTACACTTGTACTCTGTTACTAATTGAGCTCTTCTTTTGTTGGGTGATAGAATTTTAGGATTTCAGCTTCACCTGTCTTCATCGTGTCTTTTAGAGTTGCTAATGTATTTTAGATTTCAGATTAACAATGATGCATGTGCTGCAGTTGCTCAGAAATCTATAGCTAACAAATTATTTACACCTTAATTACTCGCTTTAGACAAGCTTTAGATTTTACTCCGACATCTGTATGTTGTAATTCTTATGTCCCTATGGGGCCCACCTAGTTCTAGTTACTGCTACGACCACTGAGGGGGAATTTTCAGATTTGTGTCGTCACCCATACATTCCCAGCTTTCCATGTTCACTCTTCTGTGCTGACATTCTAATTAATTTTTTGTGGTATGTTTTTTAGCTTAAATTCTTCCTACCAATCACTTCCAGCAGTTGGAAGCGGGTCAGTTTCATTACATCCTTGTGAGCTATCCGTATGCTACCTACCCTAACTGTTTTTATCTCCTCTGTTGTGCTGTCTGCTGTAATCTGTTATCTTTGGTTCTCAGTTTTGTAACAGTAACTTTTTTTTGTGCCAGTTAATTTTTTTTTTTTTATTTACTCCAGCATGAGACTGTTTTTCTTTTTGGTCCTATTCCGTCACATTCCTTGACAGGTTTTTCTTCTCAAATATAAATTTTAAAATTGCTACTGATATTGCTTAAATTTTTTCATCTGATAATAGCAATAATAAATTCGGAATCAATATGTTTGATAAAATTAAATTTCAGATAAATAGGCTTGACCTCAGGAAAAACTACAACTCTTTTTTTAGTACTTTTATGCTCTGTGCATGAAAGTAACTATTTAATTCTGTTATTTCTATGTTGTTTCTATAGCTGATATATGGTACATTGCTTTGTGTGTTTGTGTTTATGTCAATATTCATATTCATATTTGACAGTTCAAGTAATTACACAATTTCATACAGATCCATTTGTGGTATTTCATACTTGAATAGGTAACTGGTTGTGACTCAGCCATTTTTTTATTTTTATTTTTTTTGACCATCAAATGCACAGCAGTAACAATGCAAGTCTAAGAGTAAATGTGACCTTGCTGTAAATTAGAAGTTGACTAAATTGACCAAACAGAAACTTTGGTGGAAACATCAAAGGTCATGCTCTCCTGCTGACTGCAAGGCTGAGATTGCTATTAGAGCTGACATCAGACAGCGCAGCAGAATGAAGGATGGGTCAGCACAAAATGTCCCTCCATCAAATCCACTAATGCATTAAAACACGTTCCCTCTGTGCAGGACACAAGCAGGAGGTCTTCATTCTGAGTTGAAACCTTTTCTGTTATCAGAAGGAAACTTCAGGGTTATTCTAAAGCAAAGCGATTTCACTGTGTTTGACTATTAGGAATATGCCATTTTAATTGTTATAGATTAGCTCTAGTTAAATTAAAATTTGATTATGTTGTTTCTACAGTTACTCACTGCACTTATAATGAGTTTAGTTTCTTTTGAGAGAACTCCCATCTAACATATTTACCAGTTTTTGTGTACATTCTCTCTAAGGGGGTCTGCTTTTGAATAGTTAGATATGATTTGGAGAACATCCAACATTACAAACGGTTCTCTGCCGCCTCCTCGTGAATTTTCTCCTCACTGGGAATCTGGATCGCTTTGATGCCAACTTCACCGTCAACAGCAACACATCAGACCCAGAATCTCACACAGTACGGATAGGTTAGGTTAAAATAATCTATTATGCAGACGTTTCTTTTAATTTCAGGTTTTTGTCTCCCTGTGATTTTGTTTTATCTTAATGTGCAGTTTTAACTCTTTGGATCACTTTGCAAACACACACACACAGAAAACAGCCTCATTCGACAGATTTGTGGAGTTAGTAATTGGGTTGGTTGATGTGCTGACTGTCTGCACCTTTCTTTTCAATACCGATGTCCTAGATGTGCATTTATATGTGTGTGTGATTGGTGTGTTGACACACTGTGTTGTCAGCAGTAATCTAAACTGCTGCTAATCAGACACTGTGCATGGATGTGTGTGTGTTTGGGTGTGTGGGTGTGTCGGAGCCTGTGCCCATCAAGAGGGGAAGCACACAGGAGCTGCTGAGTCACCATAGGGACTGGATGGGCAGTCATCGCAGAATTTTAACTGGTTACACTCTGAACTCACTCACTCATTTATAAATGAAGTGGTTTGTTTTAATATTTTCCTTCCTTTGCTTATTTTAGACTGTTTTACTATTATGCTACTTTTATCAAACAGCCTTTCTGCCTTGAAGAAGATATTAACAACAAACTGCCGTAGATTTCAGTAACAAGAGCGTTGCATCAGAAATAAAGGCTGAATTAGAAATATAAATATTAGCAATTCAACTCCACAACCAGTTTGACTTATTGAAAGTTAATGATGATAGTTATTTGTCTGACAGATTTACTGGATGCCAACCAACGTGTCGAAAGGTTGAATTTTGAAAAAAATAATTCTTAAGTGTACCTCAATAACTTAGAGCGTTTATACATTTGCAGTTTCAGTATCTTATTACACATTTTATTCATTTGTCATACTAAAAAGTACTACTCCGATATGTTTCTCTATACATTCAATCACCTTTACTTTTTGTCCAGTTTTTCTGTTTCTGTTTCTGTTCAAGTTGGACTTCAGGAGACAGAAAAGCAAATGGAGGGGAAAACCCACATCGTGCTGCAGCAAAAATAGGTTCTGCTTGTCGAGACAGAAAATGAGATCCTCTCTGTCGAGACATTTTTATAACAAATAGAGAAAATCTCACAATTGGTTCACAGGAAATAGTGCTCACACAACCTAAGAAGCCTCTTTCAGCACATGTTGCAATATTGAAACAAAAATCACAAATACAAAGTAGGATACAGAATCTCGCTAGACAGAAGTTGTCAAAATAGTTGTGCTCACTGCTTGGTGGCAGAAACATGTAATCTAAACCCTTTTGTGCTCTATGAATGGAGATGATGCTCAGCTGCAATTTTAGCCATCAACAAGCATCCTGATTTTAGGAACAGTTAGTTCCCCAGGGCCATTGACCTCTCTCTCCATTCATTGCTGTTACATCATTAATGCAGCTTTTGGTATTGTAGGCCTGCCCCGTAACTCCGCTGGAGAGCTATGCTGTTTCTCACTGAGTGAGGAGCTGAAATTGTTGGTTTTGTTTGTTTGGCTAGACAATCATTTCTTAAACTTAATAAATGTAACAGGTGACCTTGTTGAAAGTTAGATTTTCAATAATAAAGTGTGGCGAGCGTCCTCTTATTTTTCCATCTCTTTATGTGCATAGATAGAGTTAGGGAAAATTGTATGCCCTGGATTCCTACGCTGTCTGGAAAAGTATGAGGAAAGCAAATGTACTGAATGTAGCATCAAGCATCTGTTTAAATCAAGAGTAGTCAATAAGATTATACAAGTTACGAAATGTTGTGAATGGGGGGCCTTCTAAGACAACTTTGTCCTGGACCCAGGCCTGCTTGTAGTGACGGTTCGCATTAAACAATATTTTACTCATGGTTCACAGTAAAAATTAAATGTGAAATCTTGTTTGATTTATAAGCTGGATTTTGTTGAAATTGAAGAGGCAAAGTATGTGCTGAACTTTTAATTGATTAACTCATTCCACTTGCTTAAGCTTTGCTTGTGCTTTGACAGGAAATTTCTCCGGAGGATAAAATGACTATGATCAAGACGGGTTTTGTTTGCAACTTTACAATATTTCTTGCACAATCCGGCTCTATTATAATCTTGCTGCACAGCACAGTTTGGGGCTTTCTCCCAATTACTTGGATTCCTCCGGTAGAATTTCTACCAGGCAAATCATTGAAGAGAAGGATGCGTTGTGATTGCAGGCAATTTTTTGGTAAGCTTCATAGCGTCAAACTGCTGCATTACATTTGTCATTTGCTTTGTACATCAGATCCGATGCACAAAGCAAATAGCGTAGAACAAGGGGCTTGTTTTTACCAGGCCGCTCAATATGTGCTATGCCTGAGTAAGCTTCAAACTTGGCTTCTCATCAAGTGTAGTGACTATTTGCTAAAATAAAAGGGGTGACCTTTGGCAGACCTAGCCAGATCACTCTGGAAGGACTAAATGTAAATCCCTCTGGAATCCTTTGGGATCCCCCAGAATGAGTTTGTGGGTGTCAATGATGACCTGATCTCAGAAGTTGACAAAAAAACAAAAATCATGAGAATTGACTTTAAAAACCTGCCCTGCGATGGCCTGGCGACTTGTCCAGGCTGTACCCCACGCCTCACTGGTGCCAGAGATAGTCACCAGCCCCCAGCAAGGCAGCATGAGGATAAGCATGAATAGACGATGAAATTATATAATATCATCTTACAATATCACTAGACTGTGAAAGCCAGACATTGATTCATTATTTCACCAGTGATATCTGATCTAAATCAACTTGGGTTCTGAGTGGTCCGAAGTGATAAAAAGCCAAACTATGTTTGAGGAAAAGATAAAATCCAACTCTCAGGCCACTGAATATGCTGTCTTATGAAACCCCTGCACTGAAGCGATAAATAATGCAGCAACGAGAGCAACAGAGGTCAGGAGGCACCACTTAGGATTGGCTCATTTTTATATTGGAACAGCACTGAGTAAATCCTGTCTGTGTCATGAATGCATGGGAAGCAGGGGACTATAAAACTGTGAAGGATTAGGGGATAGATTATATGGGAGCTAAGCATCGATGAGAATTATCGTGGAAAAACGTCTTTGTGTTTGAGACCCAGTGAACGACACAGGGACAACACTGGCGTAGACAAAACTGAAGGAAGACAGCGGGATTAAAGAGGCTCAAATTGAAAGTGAGAGCAGAAGTTGTGTGAGGTGTCCACTGTGCATACCCCTATCTGTGAAACAATGGCCCACAGTCCTTCCTGAGGCCTGCTAACAGTCTACTGTATGTCTTCATGCTGGCTGCTTTCCATGTGGTGTGTGTGTGTGTTACATTTGCAAGACAATGACAGCTTGTTTGCCTGCAGTGCAGATGGAGGGGTAAACAGAAGCAGAGAACAGAACGAATCGGGGTTCATGCAGATAAGGTGTCAGGATGCAGGCTGATTAAAGGTACATTGAACTGTCCATTAGAGTTTTCTTGATTGCCTTCATGCAGCTGTCAACTCAAAGTCAACACAGAGTTAACACACAGGAATAAACAGCGGCATGTATAGCTCAAAGTTGTGCATTTTGTTTGCCAAAACTTTAAAAATACGAAACAAAAGCAAATATTGCCTTCAAACAACACAACGTGCACAAACTCTTCCAATCAATCGGACAGCAAAACACTGCATTTGCTTGTCATTGTATTATTACTTTCATGCCTATGCCATTTATCTAGGCTGCATCAGATTTTCCTTCTTGCAAAATATTGGATCCACAATCAGAATGCTTTGATGCAACTCTTACTGATTCCACAACTGATTCCCTGGTGATTTCTGTTTTGGTTACCATGGTTAAAACAATGGCTCTTGGACTGGTTGAAGGACATCTGTGCTCACTGTTTTGGCAAAAAGGTGCGGAAAATGTGTCAATCCAATGAGAAAGAGTTAACATGTTTGCAAGAGGTTTCTTCTGCTCTCCTGTGATAGTGATGATGAAAACTGAACGGATCCCCGTTTCTTTAAGCGGGTCGAAGCAATCAAAAATAAAACCTTTATCATGCAAGTGGTGCAAGCTTTAGCCTAGTCATTGCTGCTAAACCCTAGTTTTACTTTCCCAGACCTGTGTGTCGTGCTAAATATGGATTATGTACATGCATAAAGCCTCCATATGAGGTTGGCGATAAACACGAGAATAAAACACAAACAGTGAACATCAAAGCTTATCAGCCTTCTCTTTTCAGGCAAATAGTACAACTTACAGAGAATTTCTTGACACTGATTAATGAGGTTCTGTAGCTCAAACCTGTAATATGCCATTGTTTTTGTATGATGCATGATGCGAGTGACTCATTCGGGGTCAAAGGTCAAGTTAGAGATTGGTAGCAACATCTCAAGACATCAGACAGGGAGTTTGTTTTTTGTCCTTGCACGAGTCAAATTATGTTTTATGAAGAAAAACTAAATGTGCGAGTTGCCTGAACGCTGTGTGTGAACTGTGCTCACTTGAATTAAGGGGAAAATCATTGGAACGAAGGAGTCACACGTAAACAGTGGCAGAAAGGAGACATGGAAGTAGCACAGCACAAAGATGAATGAAGGTGACCACTTTCAAGCGTCTGTTTTCTCCCCCTCCTTCAGGAGTATGGACCTGAGTCTGCGAGATGCTCTGGGTGGAGGTGGAGGCGGGGCTCCAGCTGAGCCCCTGCTCAAGAGAGACTTTGTGGCTTCGCTGGAGAAGGAGAGCTACGACGACAAGGTGGGAGAGACGGTTTCCAAGACCGACTACAGACCCTTGGTGGACGGAAAGGACACCAAGAGTGGTAAGTTGCCTTTAGTGTGCATGAAGAGCTGTGAGAATGAGCTGTGATCCCATGCCCTCTGTGAAGCTTCACTTTGAATGAACGAACTGAGAATGAGGTGGCTCATAGGCTTTTAGGAAAGTCAGCTGTCCAGTTAGTTTTGCATCACTCTTTGTTTTCCTTTTTTTTCCCCAAACGCTGCCTTCAGGCTTGACTGTGATTTCCTGCAAACAAGATTCAACACTGGTTTTGTACCATGTAATTGAAATAATTTTTTTAAAAGACACAATTGAATAGATGTTAAGGCTCGTAGAAATATCTTTTTTTTTTTTACATTTTTTCCTTGTTTTTAGTGGGATTAAATATAAAACGCATACATAAAGTGATACACGATCCACAAGTGATGCATAGTTTTCAGTAGAAAATATAAATAGTATACATACCCCTTTGCTGCGAGGCCCCTAAATAAAATGAAGTGCAATCAATTGACCTAAGAAGTGACCATATGCTAAATATTGCCTACTTGTGAGTAATTTAATCTAATTTAAACTCAGATTGAGTTCAGTTGTTCTGTCAAAACCTCAATAAACAACATCATGAAAACCAAGTAACTTGACCGAACCTGGCGCTAAAAAGCTGTGGCGAGGATTAAAGCAGAGGCAGTTCAAGGTCAATGTTTTAAATCACAACTAATAAGTAATTTTAAAATGTTTCCTTTATCATGATGGGTGACACAAAGCTCCTGCTCTGTCTGAAACTAGACAGATTTAGCGAAGGAAAGTTGAGTGCAAAAAGTGGCGTGACCATTGTAGAGAGATTTGTTGACACAGTGGAGACGTCGCACACTCTGTGTCGGCGTGAACGACGGAAAAGGTCCAACGCAATAAGAGAGAACTGAGATTGGATGCTAAGACTGAAGTGATATTGGAGTAAAGTGCAGGGTGGAGAGAAGGAAAGCAGGTAAATAGCGCGAACTGTAAAGCCGTGTTGCGACAGATGAGGATTATCGCAGCTCTTACCAGGGGAGTTGTTCAAACATCAACAGGAAGAGGGTCCTAATAGAGCATCGCTGTTTGTATTCTAATGATTTCACATGGAGGGATTACCCATCTATGGTGGTTTCCACCTGTCATATGTTGGGCAATTCCTGCCTTTCATTCATTGGGGCATGTAGCTCTCAGCGGTATGCTCTATTTATCAAACTGCAAGGTATTATAGTTGAGCCTTTTCTTGTTTTGCTGAGAAATATTTAGTCCTTTTTTTCATTACAAAATAACAAAATTATCTTGGTTTCTTGGTTGTATTGGTAAACGACAGTTAGGCAGTAACAGAAATCTAAACTTACACTTTTTCCTAACATTAGCATCTGTATCAAGCCAATTTAAAAAAATTTAAACTACATAAAAAAGTCATTAAACATTCTCAGAAAATGTGTGTTGTCTGAAATGTTTTGGAAAATTGAATGCGACACTCTGCTGTTATTTTTGTTATCACACTATGAATCCAGCTATTGATTTGACCGATTTGTAGCAACATGTTGCCTAAATCTCCATTTCAGTATAGATAAAGCCTTCTTTTGAAATATTTTTTTTAATGTGATTGTGAGTATGTCATAATCTTATTTTATTAAAAATGATCAGATTACATGGATGGACTTTACTTGACCTCTGCTTATCATTCATGTTGTCTAACTATATATAGTGAGAGGATCACATGAAGAAAACAAACAGAGATAGATGATTGATAAAAGGAGGAACATCCCCTGACATACCAAGGCACAGCTGGCATGACAATGACCCACACACATCGTCAGCCCCAGGAGCTGGTCTTTGGAAAGCAGGGTGTTTTCGTTATGTTGTGAGGACGTGAATATGCTTATTCAGTGACATTGCAGGAACTTGACTCGGTCAGGGGAACACAAAAAGAAAATATTCTGAACTGAGACTACTGATGAAGATTTATAGTTTTATTTGAAGTCCCTATTGCATAAAATGCACTGACCTTCATCAAGTGCATTATCTTTGAATCTTAAAATAAATCTGGGGCAGTCCAATACACACCTGATGTGTCATGTAGGCTTCAGTACAATAGATTCTTGAAATAATTAGATACTGAAGTGTTTACCTTTAGCTGGACAATATGTCTATAGTGGCATATTTTATGCATAAAGGTTAAAAATAAAATAAAATAATTTGTTACATTAAAATAAATTGGGAGGCGCATCCAAAAGAACCCTTTTTGTCTGAACATCACAAATTTCAAGCTGGAGTTAGCTAAACTCTGGAGGTACTTTAACTTTATATGTGAGCTTTCAACAGATGAGATTTAGTGATCATTTCAGCCAGACTCCAGGTGGGTGGGTTCTAGATGGGGGCCAACTGAGTACCTAAGAAATTATACTAAATAAATGTCTTATGTTAATACTCAGTGATGGATTTTTTTTAACCTTCACAATTTTACTTTAACAATGAATTAAATATTCTAGTGCTGCACTTTTAGCTGCTGTATAGAGATAGGATCACATTTCCATCTGCCAGGGATCTTCAACCTGGATCTCTGGAGACAGATGTGGCTGTTTCACTCATTTAATATATCAAATGATGAAATATTGCTATGTTTTTTTTTATTTATTTATTTTTTTTTATTGTTTGTTTGTTTCAAAAACCACTCACTAAAATACCAGAGTGTTCACATACCTTTTATACTTTTGGCTGTCTGAGGACACATTTTGAATATTAAATCAGGTGTTATGAGTTTACCAAATACTTTTTACACTTGCTACGTGTTTAAGGTGTGCTACTCTGATTGGAGTACACTTTTGGGGTACTCTAACCGACCTCTACGCATGAACGATTGCTCTATGGATAAGTTTTTAAAAACAAAAATAATGTCTATCACTGCAGCGAACATCCCACCCCATGAGAGCAGGACGACGCGCGGTGGGGAGCGTCCCTTATTTTTATTTCTGAAAGGTGGCAACCCTAACTGCAGCCTGAAGTTCTGGTTCTGGGTGGATTATTGTAATGTTCAATATAATGAGTGAGACATCAGTGGAGCCATGCAGACAGAAGGGCAGCATCGCCGGTTCAACAAGTCTGATGTTGAAATGTTTAACTTCATCTGTGTGTTTTAATGAAAACTCCTAATTTCTTTGAGGACTCCGGTGCCACTAACCTAATTTGTTAACATTTATACGAGACTTGATCCTGATTAATGTGTTTCTACATTTGGCACACCTGTTCAGAGTTGCTTTTGAACCATAATAAAAGGAATATTGACCAACATATTCAACGTCTATTGATCATCTTGATCAATACAAGATGATCAATGTTTGTCACTGGCTTCGCAGTTGTCTAGTGTAGGTTGTTTTTATGACTTTATTTTTATGCTTACACAAAATTAAGCTTCTACAGGTATGACGGATTTATAAGAAACGTAACATCGACGTGTGCATGCGCATTACCAC